TTGTGCATGGTGTTTTTGGTTTTTTTTTTTTTTGCTTGAACTTTGGTTTGCAGTTGATTTACACTTTTCCTTTGCTTTGTTGCCATATTTCTGATTGCTTTTTTTTCTTTCTGCCTCCTTTTCTTTTTTTTTTTTTTTTTTTTTTTTTTTTTTCCGCCTTGCCATCTACAGCCAGGCTATGTAAGAGACTTGGTAAGTGACAGCAACAATAAAATTAAGATAAATTTACGATAAAATAGTCTAGAACCCCCTTTGGTTTGGAGAGCAGCGATGAAAAAACTAACAATACCCACCCCCACCCCCCCCCGGAGAAACTTGGGCCCTGTTTGGTTTTTATAATGGTCCCCAGTGATTTACGCTGCGAAACTGGAAACCCTACACCAGAAACTTGCCCCGCCGTTTGCTCACATCCTGCGTCTTAAACTGAACGAGCCTGAGCGGCTCTTTGCCTCCAGACAGCTCCGATCTATATTGGCTTTTATACGTCTGGAGATAGGAAGCAAAAGCAGCTCCACGTTTATCAGCCGTGGTCGCAGGCTTTGAGCCGTCGTAGCTGAAATAAGACCTCCGGGTAGAAATTATCGATGATCGGCGTCGTTCGTAACCGCGCTGGCTCCCAAACGCCTCCCGAGCCGTTCCGCGTTCGCGTGGCTGTCGTGATGCCGCTAGCGAGCCCCCTCGCCTAAAGCCGGTGTGTCTCGCCACCCGCAGATCACGGCACGCATCCTGGAAGCCCACCAGAACGTTGCTCAGATGAGTCTCATCGAGGCGAAGATGCGGTTTATTCAAGCCTGGCAGTCGCTGCCGGAGTTCGGCATCACGCACTTCATCGCAAGGTCGGTGGGTCTGCTGGGCAGAGCAGGAGGAATTTCGTGAATAAATACGGGGGGGTACGTTAAATACGCAGCCCGTCCTTCGCTGTGGAAGTCGCACTGGAGCTGAAATTAGAAGCATTAATTGCATCGACTTACAAAACCGATTTTATGTTAGCTCAGCTGCTGACTTTAGCGTGCGTAGCCGCGTATCAGGGGCATGCATTTATTTATCCCTTGCCGTGTCGCAGGTTCCAGGGGGGCAAGAAGGAGGAGCTGATCGGCATCGCCTACAACCGGCTGATACGGATGGACGCGAGCACAGGCGACGCCGTCAAAACCTGGCGGTGCAGCAACATGAAGCAGTTGAACGTGAACTGGGAGATTAAAATGGTGAGCCGGTGTTTTACACCTCTTCCCCCGCTCCTGTTACGTGAGACGGACGCTGCCCTCGGGTATTTTTTAAGTTGACTTTGTAAGTCGGCTTTTTAAAAAGTCAGGTTTTCACATGGCTGTTTTCTAAAGTGTGTCCCATCCACCTGCGTTAACGTAATATAATTTCTCCTCCTCCCTTTTCCACCCTCCTTGGAGGTGTAGCGGAGCTTGTCCTAACTGCTGGTAGAGTTGAGTATGACCCTTAAAAAGAAAAAAAAAAAAAAAGAATCTTTCTTTAATGCAACCAGTTACACGCTTAATGCATAACGATTTTTTCCAGTCTCTGAACACCCACTCAAAGGCAACTAAAAAAAAAGATCCAACTTCAGAACTGATGCTCCGGCTTGATCCTAACCAGTAACGTAAATGTACTGGGCCTTATCCGTACCGAAATTCATTTTATTTGCAGTACAGCTCAGACTTTCATGCCAGTAATGAAAAGCAAAGCAACAGCAGACCCTTCGCTAGGCTCCGAGATGGGCTTTTACCCAACCGTTACGTTTGGATGCACAAACTTTTTGCGGTCCTTATTCAGCACAACACCCGAGGAAAATTGCCAGGGATACGTGAGGGCTGTTCTCCTGCGCTTTGCGGCTCGTTAAGGGTTGCTAGAGAAATTATTCAGCTTCCCCTCTGCCTCAGAGTCTTTGTTTTGACCCAGTTGCAAGCCCCGATATCCCAATTATTCGGCTCGGATACTCTGCTGGGAATCCCTCTCCCTCCCGCAGAGCTGTCAGTGATGGGGAGACAAAAAAAATAACGGGCATCAATAAACAGACCGGCTATTCAGTCACTCCAGAACGAGCTCCCCCCAGCCCCCATAAAGCATTTCTAACGCCAAACTTCAACTTACAAAACGAGAATACACTCACAGGGAAAACTGGAAAGAAATTCCAGCCCTGGACAGGTCTGTGCCCGATCTCTGTTTCACTTGAAGCAAAGAGGATGTCGCCACGTGCTCACCGCCGAGAGGTGCGAACACGCTGGGTAATTATCGCTGAGTCACGGGAGAATAAAGTAATTTTAAGAAGCAATAAAAGGTATTTCTGTATCTGAACGGTTTAACAATAAGCCTTGCGTCATCGAATCGTAGAATATCTCAAGTTGGAAGGGACCCATAAGGATCATCGCGTCCAAATATTCGTTTAGAATCATAGAATCGTTTCGGTTGGAAAAGACCTTTAAGATCATCCAGTCCAACCATTAACCTACACTGCCGACTCCACCACTAAACCAATTAACGGGAGAGTAGACTAAACCATGTCCCTAAGTGCCACGTCTGCCTGTTTTTTGAACTCCTCCAGGGATGGGGACC